TTTTTAGTAACAGAATGTTTGTTAGCATGAACACAGTCATAGTTCCTATACTACTACTCTGGGAAACCGTATGTAGAAGGGTAAGAAAGATTTCACTCCATGGAATTCAGTCAGATAGTTGCTAGACCTTTCTGTATGACCTATGTAGGATCCCCAATAAACAATGTCTAAAGGAGTCTGGAGACCCTCTTTCACTATATCTCCATTATTGTCCCTATTCTCTCCATCCAACCTTTTATAGTCTACTTGCTCTACACGAAGCTGAGCACAATGGTTTGGCCAATCCCTCAGGACATAACCAAGGCAAATGTTGGCTTACGACAAGGTTTATATGAGGTCATTTTGTCCTATGGCACTGTTGGTAACTGGTCATGGATAGGATCAACATGAAATTGATAGTGGGATGGCCATGGAAGTCAAATCTAGGAAGAAGATATCTTTATAATGTACTCATTTCATGGGACTATGTTTTCTCTACTCCTACTCTTGCCCCTGATTGGGTTATGAGAAGAGGTAACAGTAGCAGAAAAAATCTCTCCGCAGTTTCTAACCTTGGAAATCTATGCTATAAGAGCTATGTCTAAATATCTATCTATTCTTCCTCTCACACTTTCTTTATTCCTTGAGTTATGTAACACCAGACTAAAGACCAGTCCTATTGGCGTAAACTAGATTTCTCACACACAGAACTCCAGCCTTTCTTGTCTCATTGTCTGAAGATCCATCCTAGATAAAACTTTCAGGACACCCTCCATTTATGCAAATATCCAAAAAAGAAAGAGCAGTACCAGACTACAGGTTGTACTGGCTGCTTTTGTAGCATCTTCACACATGTTGCACACTATACTTCTTTCTCTGGTAAAGCTAATAAGTGGATTATTCATTTGGGCCAACAATTCAATTAACCCCAAAGTTATTTTGATCTTGTCTGGAATGCCTTCCTGAAGCGGACTATCTAGCTCTTCAAAACTCCACCACTGAAGGCAGTGCTATTGATTGGTAAGACAACTGCAGCAAGAAATCCACAAGTCCTCATGCCCTCTGTCAGCTCTGCCACTATGGCCTTGAGCAAGTCACTTCACCTCTTTGGAGTAGCTTCCCTATTTGTACAAAGTCAACGCCATCTGCTTACAATGTCACTGGGGGCTGCAAAGAGCACATCAATGCTTGTAAAGAACTCAGAAGCTGAAGAGTGCCATATAAATGATAAACATCTTCATTTTTCACTCTTCCATTCAAAAACCAGCTCCACATTTCATCAAGTACCTACACTGCTCTGTGTTCTGACGCTATGAAACCACTCAGCCAGCAGAGTTCAATAACAAATGCAGAACCTATATAATCAGTCATACTAGTGGCACAAACAAGAAAGCAAACAGAAGAGCGCTATAGCAGATTTTGCTCCATTAGAAACATACAGAAGGGGGGGGGGGCTTCAAAAACCAGCTCCACATTTCATCAAGTACCTACACTGCTCTGTGTTCTGACGCTATGAAACCACTCAGCCAGCAGAGTTCAATAACAAATGCAGAACCTATATAATCAGTCATACTAGTGGCACAAACAAGAAAGCAAACAGAAGAGCGCTATAGCAGATTTTGCTCCATTAGAAACATACAGAAGGGGGGGGGGGCCACTCTCTCAATGTTTAGAAGGGGGGGGGGGGGGCACTACAAATGTTTGGAAAATGGGAAAAGCTAAAATCAATACGGAATATTTTCTTAGTGATTAAACATAAAATGGGGGGGAGGGAATCAAAGAAAGCTTGAGTGAGATTCGTTAATATTTGTAAAAAGGGGAAGCATATACGTTTTCACTGTTTTTACTGTCCTTGCTTATCACAAAGAGCCATTCTCTGCATACACCTCCCTCTGTTAGATCTGACCATTCAATTTGAGAACAGAGGACTCTAACCAGAGCATATAATAAAAGAACCTGAGAGCTGAACCCTTTCTTAAAGGGCCTCTTTTGTAACTGTGACCCAGAAGGATGAAATGCGTATTCTGCCTTTTCTCTGGGTCAGAAATCCCTTCCAGGGAAGTTAAGAGAGCTGGACTCACCTCATCCAATTTGCTTTGGTTTCATCTGTCCCATCTATAGATTTGTAGCGGTTGTTCTTATCGACAATCTGTAGAATAATAAAATGAAAGTAGTAGGAAGACTGGCTGGCTCAGAGGGAATTGGGGAATACAGAACCTTTCACCTCTAGATCATATTTCCAGGTCAGGGGATAGTGGGATATAAAGCATTTCACTTCTAGGTGATGGTTTCAAATCAAGCTTTGATCAATAGGGCATCTAGCTTGTTCCCACTAGATATGTGTTTTTGGTCCCCTCTGAGAAAAGAGGAAAGGTGGTATCAGTCCACCACAAAACTATCACTGCAGCTGGCACTATTTTGTGCACTTGTTGGCAGTCTCAGCTAAAGATGCCAGGGACTGAATTCCCCGCCTTCCTCTTCCCCTTCTCCCTCAGAACAGAGACATGTCCCCACTTTATAGATAGCTAGACTGAGGCACAGAGATAAGGAGGGCCTTGGGTCAAGGTCACAAAGGGCCCTGGTCATGGTCACAAGGCATATCAATAGCAGAATTGTGAGCAGGAGTAGTCCGGTTTTCCTGTTCTGTGCTTTAACTATGCATAAGCAGTTCTCAAACATTTCCCAACCCCAATTCCACCTTGTGTCTTCTTTATGGCTGAAAAGGATTGTGGGAGAGGGAGAACAGCAAGAGGATTTTTAATGCTGACAATTGTGCGTGGTAGTAGGCTGCTCCTCATGAATGATAAATTTAGGGGATGCTGGGACAGCTGAATGCTGGTTGGTGGCTGTCTCCTTTCTTAGCACTTCACAATGCTCTGCTTCAGGGGAAAGAGAAGTGTTGTTTTGAGAGGCAATGCAAACCACACTCTTCGGCAGAAGCGACCCTCCTCAACCCTTAGAGTAGAGAAAGATACATTGAATTGGTTCCTCAGGGCATGTCAGAGAGAATAGCAAGAGGCAGGGGGGGAAGAGAGTAAATTATTCCTTCTTTCCTTCCAAGTTCCAATGTTTGTGAATCTTGGATACTTTCTCAGCCAGTGGGCTATGTACCAGAGGGCACCCTTTTGTGGGCCACTTGTGGGTTTTGCCCCATCAGTTGTGAACTCCTGCACTAGACCACATTCCCTCCCAAGACTGGGAATACAATCCAGGAATTCTGACTCCCAGTTCCCTTCTCTAATCTGCATCCCTAAAATAAAAATAATTAGGGCAAGTGAACCTGGATCTGCTGTAAATTTAGCAGAGCTAGTAGCACTACTCTATAACTCAATGATCTAGGCTGTATGCTTGGATCATCACAATAGGGAGGCAGTTAAGACACTCACCAGCCAAGAGAAGAATCCAGCTGATTTGTCCTGACTAGAGATCTGTCCCTCATACGGCCCAAAGACGTGACCTTTGGGGATAACCTCATTCACACAGCGTACATCGTTCTCCCCGCTGGGTTCTTTCACCACCTCCATGCCAGGCGGGATGGTCAGTGCTGCCCGGTCAGGGATCCCAACGGGTACTGGAGTGTCTGACACAAACACGGGGGGACCATGGTTTGGGCATTCATCCACAAAATACTCCTGGCAGGCTTCACAAACTGGAAGAAACAGGAATTTGCTTGTGAACTGAAGCTTATACCAGAAAGACCAACATGTGAAAGCCATTCTTAGCTTATACGACCTATTATAATGAGGACAAAACTCAGATTCTCCTACTGCAAAAGCAAAGAATCCTGTCACTGAAGTAAATGATAATTTTTCAGCAATACAGGGCCCATAACACAGTTTAGCAGTCCTGTGTCCATTCCGTAGAGGGCAGAAATATGTTCTCACGCACACCTTCTTCTCTTGCTACTCTGACCATATCTTCCCACCTCCTTTACTAGCTTGCCCTTTACTAGCTTCCACTCACTTTCTGTATCAACTTAATCCTCCTTCCAGTCCAGAATGAGCACAATTCTACTCCCACGTATGTATCTTCCCATATCCCTCCTATACACCTTCTCTCCCGAAGTTCCTTGACAATGGCTTCTTTTGTGGCTCCTGCCATGTCAAAGCTTATATCTAGAGCAGTTTGCCAAGCATTTTATCTTCTGTTCCAGAGACCATGTTAGCCATACCAGCCAGTATCCCACAGGTTCTGTGCTGTCTCACTCCTTTAAACTACTCTGGCTCTTGGGGGCAGCACTCTTATTGACTTGTTGAGTATATGACTCTTGTTCACATCCAGTAAATACACATGCCCACATAATCCCACTGCCTCTGTCATATGCCTTAGTGACAAGCAGTATCATATACTTCTCCTATGTGAAGAATGGACTGTGGCCTCTTCAGGAGGCCAACACCACTCAGGGGGTACAAGTGTGTGCCATGCCACTTTTGCCTTCCAGGATGTGAAGCAAGAAAAGAGGAGTTACCCATGCAATGCTCCCTTGCCAAGAAAGACAGTTCCAAAATCTACACCTTTTTGGCTCCATGGTTACCCAATCCTTATGTTTCAGAGCCTGTAGCACATTTGCCATCTATTTCCCCACACAATCCACTACAAACCCCGAACTTTGGTGACTTACTGTCACAGATCCCTGCCTGACAGTTTCAGCATCAAGTATTTGAGCGTCCTCAGGAGTTTAACTAAAGTGATGTGTTTTCAGGTAAATTATGCCTCAGACCCTCCTCCTTTTCTATCCAGGAGGAACTAGGTAGATTGGGAGTGGAGAAAAATTCTATCTAAGAGGAGGTGTCTATTCCCTCCAATAAGACACTTACACCAGAAATCCACCTGCTGAAAGCTCTTGGTCACAATCAAATCCCGTTTCCCTTTCAGTTTCTTCGGCTCCACTTCCATAGACTGAGACTCAGCCCTCCCAGAGCTGGGGAGAGACAGCAAGAAATTAAAGAATTTATGAGAAAGAATAGAAGGAAGAGACCATGAGATAAAACAGCCTTACACTGTTTCCCGAGTCTAAAGTGTCAAACTTGATTTTCTTATCTAAAGTGCTAATACATAGTGCCCCAGGCTGTCCTCCCAGAACATGGTGCTCCAAAGGCTTCATGGCTATTACATGTTTCCAGTGGAGAACCTCCATGTCTTGCAGAAATCACAAAGATTCCTAATCCCAGTACTGCTGCAGGTCAGGGATATGCAATCAAATCTTAAACGCCTGGCTGAGATGGATACAGGATGAGAAACACGAGGCAGAGGTACAGTATCTTACCAAGGTTGCCCATACTCCTGGTCTCGGCATGGAGAGCAGGCCTCAGTCTTTATTGTCACCATCTCCCCTAAGGAAGCGTGGGTCTGGATCAAGCAGTCCTTCAGGTTTTCACTCATGTTCTGAGAGAGAATGAAAAAAATAGGGATAGGGAGAGAAGTGAATGGTGGAGAAGTCACAACATTTTCCTGGATTTAAATATCCAGCTGCTAGAAACACCTATTTGAGCACAAACAAAAATCCCCTTTTGGACCAAGAGACAACAGCAATTCTATCACAGGTAACACCTAGGTTCAGGATACAGGCAGTTAACATGGGGCACTGGGAATAAGGATGCAAGGCAGGAAAACTATGCTATACAACATCTGCAGCAGAAGAAAGCTAATACAGGGCTACATGCTTTGAGATCAAAGAGAAGACACTATAGTAGTGCAGAGTGTGATTATATAACTAAAGACTTGTCTTTAAATAATGCTTAGAAACAGAAGCCTATGGGTTGGCAATGAGCCATGACTTGTCTAGGTGATCCAGAGGGTGCCATAGAGGGTGGAGTGAGGATATGGGCACACTGAAGTGCTCATATTCTTTGTGCACAATGACACAAAATCACCTGCCTCAAAGGCATGCCGGAATCCAATAGCACAGTATGCACAGTAGTCACTTATCTCCCTACCCTTTGTGGCTATCACCTCCCTTCTTGGAAGTATATTGTTTTATTTAAAATGCTGCTCCCCATCTTAGCACAAGAATAAGAGAATATTCAATTAAATTAAAAGATGGCTAATTCAAATATGTTATCAAACATCCCATTGTCACAGGATCCCATTGAGGAAGACTCAGAAAGACACAGGACATACATATTGATGTCAAGAATATTTAGAGTTGTTATATTAAATGCTAACAAAATTTTGGAATGGGGTATTAAACTTCATGCTTCAGGGCTTCTGCCAGCCTATAACCATTAGGAATCAGGATACTTCTTAGCTCATATTGCCCCACATATGCCTAATGTAGAGTTCTTACAACTTCCTCTGATACACCTGGTGCCAGGTACTTTCCCAGAAAGAAGTCTGGACTAGACAAAACTCAGTTCTGATCCAACATGGCAATTCTTTTATGTCACATATTCATGTCTCACGCAAGGCATGTCTACACTACAGCCTTAACCAACCTAAGTTAAGTTGACTTACAGACACTGAAATAATTACTGGGGTGGCTGATGTCCGCACAACTCTTCATCTGCCAGTGGGGTGCTTCCTCACCAAAAATACTAGCACTGATTGAAGAGGGGCAAGGTAGGGGGTTGAGAGTCAGGATTCTCAGCTCTGTGCAACTCCCTGCCAGCTGCCCCCTAGACAGGCAGATCCCCACTCAGAGTGTGGTTGGCTACCATGCTCCTTGTAGGAGACTGAGAGCTGGAGGGAAAGCCGGGGGGGGGGGGGGGGGGGGGGGGC